GGTTGTTTGTACAGATGATTGTTTTGGAAAAGTGGCTGTTAGAGGAGGTCCAACTGTTCTCTATGTTTTGTTTTGTGTGATCTTAGCGTCCTGAGGCCATTCATCTACGACCCCTTGGTGGAGTGGAGCAAGCCAGTCAAAGGTCAAAGGTCGAACGCCTCAGATTCTGGGGAAATCAACAATGAGCAGGTACGTACTCTTCTTTCTTTCTGTTTTTGTTTTAAATTGTGTTTGTGGGTGGATGGTGGGTGCCCTGGTGTGGTTTGCTTCTTCTTTCCTATCAAACATCTATCGTTTAATCTCCCCTCCTTCTTTTATGTGTTTGTTACTCTCTTGTAACACCTCTAATCTCTGGCACTTTTATGACCTTATTGTGTTACAATTGCCATAAAACACTAATACAAAACAAAAAATTATGTTTATCTTTAAGTAAAGTATTTTTGGTCTATGGCCATTGCAATACAAACTGTTCATAATATTAGTATCAAAGATTAGTTGGTCCTATTTGACAGTAGGCCTACTTCCCCTTTGTTTGGATCAATCCTTTCTTTGGAGCCTGCAGCAAAGTGTAATCTCAAAACACTTGGACATAGACTCATCGAGAACTTCAATTGTTGCAAATACTGGTTTTGGAGTTTCCTACTATCTGCGATAAGGCTGCTGTCAAAATGAACATTAATGTGTATTGCTGTTGATTTTTTAATCTATCTTCATATTGGAATTCTATTTTATGAAAGTAGGATGTAATTTGAATATTATGCATATATACATGTGTTTTCACCAACCCTGTAAAGTTACCAAAAATGTCATTTGAATACCTCAATTTTGCTGTTTTTTTGCATTTTTGAACAAAGTGGGTATAGACCCTTCTGGCTCCAAGCCATTCTAAAAGATTAGAACAGATTTTTTATTATGAGTTGATAAGAAATATGTTTCTTTCATCGAATTCTTTAATGTCTCACTGACAGTTGTTCAAGAGTTTGGTTTTTGCTGTGTTATTTCCCCCAGGCTTTGAACCACGTCCAGAACATTGAGGACAGAATGCGAGGCATCCTGAAGACAAAGGCCAAACCTCGCTGTCTTCCCCTCTCCATCAAGGGACACGTCAACTATTTGATTCAGGTAAATGTTTGACTCAGGTAACTCTTATGGAAGACTACATTATTTGTTTGATCCATGTAGTTCTGACCGAAGGCTTCATCAACTGTTTGATTCTATTGAAAGAACTGTTTCATTCGGATAATGTTTGATTTTGGGAAGAACTTTCTTTCAGATAATGTTTGATTTTGGGAAGAACTGTTTCTTTCAGATAATGTTTGATTTTGGGAAGAACTGTTTCTTTCAGATAATGTTTGATTTTGGGAAGAACTGTTTCGTTCAGATAATGTTTGATTTTGGGAAGAACTGTTTCGTTCAGATAATGTTTGATTTTGGGAAGAACTGTTTCATTCAGACAATGTTTGATTCATTCAGATAATGTTTGATTTCGGGAAGAACTGTTTCGTTCGGATAATGTTTGATTTCGGGAAGAACTGTTTCATTCGGATAATGTTTGATTTCGGGAAGAACTGTTTCATTCAGGGAAGTGTTAGAATATAGATACCGGTAACCATATGATTCAGAGAAGTGTTAGGTATAAATCTATATAATAACCTTTTGGTTCAGGCACCTCCGAAGTCAAATAATAAACCAGAGTGAGTTTTGTCACCACTAGGGGACATTTGTGAAGCGTGCAGACAAAAAGAGTTACTTCTCGGATTCAGGCCTTAAGGAAATAGATACATCACACTTATAGGTGAAGTTTTTACAATTTATAGGTATGAAATATAAGGAGTGTTATACTTAAAGAATATGGCATTTATAGAAAATTTACAAATTTGACCCTATAGTGTCAATTTTTGGTCAATATCTCTATTTGTGGACTGCGAGAAGTAACTCATTTTGTCAGCACGCCTCACATTTGTTTCACAGATTCACAGCAATAGTGCTGTACATTAACCGGAAGTACTAATTTTACGAATATATCTGGATTTCTAAAATTGTCAGCACTTTGCCTGACTTTGTGCCTATTATAAAAGAATAGTCTTGATGCAAGATGCATGAGAGAATGTAATCCGTAAATTTGAAGTCCACGTGTGTATCCATAGAGTATGTGATCAGAAAAATTCATAATTTTTTCACATTGCCAGTTTACACCTCTGATACACTAATATTGTATCCCAAATTTTTCCAAAGGGTGTCACTTGAGGCAACCCATTGTCAAGAGAAAAATGGACTAGTGGATGTCTTTAACAGTGACATTATAATATTATATAATTTTAGAAAAGAAAAAAAAAAAAGAGAGAAAAATGAGAAGTGATCGTTTGCACAGGCGCCCATCAAAGGTTCAAATGTAGTTAAAACATTATAGGACGTTCTGAGCCATGGTACAGGCACAATTCGTGTAATTTTAAAAACTGTTTCTACCATTGACGATGTCTGTCTCTGCTGCTTCTGTCTGACCGAATGATGAACACACACAATAACAGCCGTCTCCTTTTCTTCTCTCCCTTTGTTCCATTCAGGAGGCCACGGATGAGAAAAACCTGTGCCAGATGTACATTGGCTGGGCTGCCTACATGTGATGGCTTGCCTCTTCAGCTGCTTGTCTCCCACTGGGGGGTGGGTGGAAAAGTGTGTGTGTGCGGGAGG